GAGAGAGAGAGAGAGAGAGAGAGAGAGAGAGAGAGAGAGAGAGAGAGAGAGAGGAAGGAGGGGGGAGAGAGAGGGACTGGTGGTTACCCACCTGGCAACTTTACGAGCTCACGCCGCGCTCCTCCCGCTGCTTTGTCGGCTCCTTCACGATGACTGTTGTGCCCTGGCTATGGCTGGACGATGGCGCCCTGGACTGCTGCTGCTGCACAGGAGACGTGGAGGCAAGCATGCGACGCGCAATGCACGGCGGGCGCGAAGGGCACAAAGCTGGAGTACCGGGTTCATCCAGGCAGCGAGGGGCAGCACTCCGAATTCAAAACTTGAAAAACAAACTCATTTCAGCTGCCCCCCGTTTTTTTTCTTCAGAGGCCCCGCGCGGCCTCAAAATATTGTTTGTTTGTTTTTTCGTTTCGTGGCGCGACATCCCAGCCGGGCCTGGAAGACCCCTCGGAAACTTTTTTTTTTTTGGTCGACCCCTTATTTTCGGGGTGCGCCGCACCCCGTGCGCGCGCGTCATGCGCGGTGCACGGTGCGACGCACGTACGGGGTGCAGCGCACCTCGATGCGCCGCAAGTATGACTAATTTTAATCATAATCAGAATTAGAACTCAACATATTAATAGTATCTACAAAAATAAACGATTTAAAGCAACCAAAAAGGCAGCCACATATAGGAAGTCCACAAAATTTTCAAAAACGGGGGAGGGAATGGATAACCGCGCCCACAAAATAGATAAATGAAAAGGGTACTAGCGAGATTTTCCAAGTGGCACAGAGTCGAGCGTAGAACACTCCCCACACTACTCAAGGCATGGGTGACCTTGTGTCACTCTTCCTAATCTTAAAGGTCAGCCATTCTTAAAACTAAACAACACTGTAACTCTGATCGCGATTATGGCTGGGGTTTACTTTACCCTTTGCGCTCGGGAACCGTTCCCACCGCCACTAGTAAGTCTCCCACTCCCACTAATGGCACTGCCACCCATAGGGCTTCGGGGCTTTACAGACCCATAGGGCTTCGGGGCTTTACAGACCCAGCAGAGAACTCATCTCTTCATCATATTAATTTCCCAGATACTGCCGTAGATATGTAAGTGGTAAAATTAACGCAGGAATTCCCAGGATGACTATAGNCAGAGAACTCATCTCTTCATCATATTAATTTCCCAGATACTGCCGTAGATATGTAAGTGGTAAAATTAACGCAGGAATTCCCAGGATGACTATAGGTCGAGAGTAGAACACTCCCCGCACCACTCAAGGCTGGGGTGACCCTGCAACACTGTTTCCTACGCTTGAAGAGCGACCACTTTTGGGAAATAAACTTCAAKATGTCCTGATAGGCAGAATACACTGAGAAAGTCACCAACAACAGAAGCGATCCCAAAAACGTGAAATACCCAAACAAACTTAAAAAAATCTACAAGATGTCAGACAATAGAAACGATTGCTAAACTCAACCAACAAAAACAGTTCCCAGAATCCACTACGTAGACAACTCTAATGGAACAAACTCAATGGCTAAAAGGTGGGAAGGAAGAATAAGCATTAGGGTGACCCACACATTAACGCTGACCAAAACACTGTAAAGAGCNTCTAATGGAACAAACTCAATGGCTAAAAGGTGGGAAGGAAGAATAAGCATTAGGGTGACCCACACATTAACGCTGACCAAAACACTGTAAAGAGCCTTTGTTGCCTAGACGGGTTTCCCACCACGCCCCCAATGGATACAACTCTAGTTTGCTCTTCACCGGGTCTCTCGTATCATCCCAACCTCGTGAGCTTCACCCTAAACCACCGCAAACCAAATTAAATGAAAACTCAGAACATGAAGTAAGTGAGCGTCATACTGCCTTGCGACGAAGGTAAGTCAAACGAGATTTGCTGCAGCCGCAAACCAAATTAAGTGAGAAAACTCAGAACATGAAGTAAATAAACATCATACTGCCTTGCGATGAAGGTAAGTCAAACAAGACTTGTCGCAGCCCTTGAATATGCCGGAGCGGTGCCACCGCAGCCACACGCTCTCCCACTGCGTCCAGGTACCCCGCTCCGCCTTCCATGCTTTCCTATTGATCGAGGCAGTCAGGATGACGTGTCGTGAAGTACAGTGCGCGGCCTTTAGATGGTGAGAAAGGAGCCCCCCCTTTCCTGCAGAAGGCTTGAGGGGAAGGCGACTCCTCTGGTATCAAGGCCTTGTGAGGTGTGTAGGTTGGTATGGAGGTCCGATAAGGAGCTCCCACTGCGTCCAGGTACGCCGCTCTGCCTTCCATGCTTTCCTGTTGATCGAGGCAGTCAGGATGACGTGTCGTGAAGTACAGCGCGCGACCTTTAGATGGTGAGAAAGGAGCCCCCCTTTCCAGCAGAAGGCTTCAGGGGAAGGCGGCTCCTCTGGTATCAAGGTCTTGTGCGGTGTGTAGGCTGGTATGGAGGTCCGATAAGGAGCTGCTAGGATGCCATGGCGTAAGAGTGTGAAGCACTCCCTACCCACTCAAGGGCTAGGCTACGCCAGGGCACTGTCGCCATAGCTCTCACACAGCTATGGTGCCTGGCAGGGTAGGCGCCTCGTCGAAGGAATCAACGTCCACATGCTCAGACGCTGCGTCCTACACAGCCGCAACCGACGACCTGGCGCCGCCACCGCCGCTGTCGCTGTCTCACCGTTAACACACGTTTCGCGCGGCCCCCCTCTCGGATCCTCCCAATTCTACGTATTTTGAATTACGAAAAAAAAGAAATGTAGATGAAGAGTTTAATTAATTTAAAAAGATTTTTGAATTACAAAACTTTCGAAAAAGAATTAATTAAAATTATTTCCGAATTCCGAAGAAGAAATGTCGAGAAAGAATGATTAATCCTACGTATTTTCAAAAATTTCAAAAAGAAAATATTTTTGAAAAATAAATGTTGAGAAAGATTAGGTAATGAAGTATTTTCGAATTTACATGAATTTCAAATGAGTTCTAAAAAAAAAATAAAAAAAAATAAATAAGGAATAAATTAGTTTTAATGTAAATTGAGGGCGGAGCGATCCTATCTACGATTGATTGGGTGGTAGCGTGGTAGGTAGGGTTAAAAAAAGGGGGTTGCAGGGGTAGATTGA